GGCCGAGCGGGACCGAGCCGGGCCGAGCCCAGGCCGCGGGGCTTGCTCGGGCTGTGCTTGCGCGGTCGCGGGCGGCGGCGCGGGCCGAAACCCGGGGCTGGGGTCGCCAGCGAGGCGCAGGGGTCCGGGCGCCGGCTTTGGGGGGCACTTTGAAGCCTCGGCGGAGGATGGGAGGCCCCAGGCGCGCCGGATAACCGGTGCCCGAGCCCAGCCACGGCAGGGGGTGGGGAGATAGCAGGGCCTCCCCCATCCCACCCCGTCCCCAGTTCCAGCCAGGCACATCATGTCCTCTGTGATCTTGAGAAAGCCGCTTGAGCCACTTGGACCTCCGTGAGAGACAGTGACAATTGTCTCACCCTCACCGTTTTTTTCCGGCTGGCCGGTGCGGCTCATCGCGATTTGAGGATGGGAGGGAGGTTGGAGAAGGCACAGGGCCGCCTGGGGTGCTCTGCGGGGCTGCGTGCTATTTCCCCTGCAAAGGCTGTCTGGGGCTGGCCGGTTGCGCAGTGGGTTAGAGCACGGCGTTGGTAACACCAAGGTCAAGGGTTCGGATCCCCTTACTGGCCAGCCGAAAAAAAAAAAAAAAAAAAATCTGGACCTAGAATCAGAGAAGACCCGGGCTCCCTCCCAGCTCTACCTCTGTCGGTGTGACCTGGGGCTCCTTCCCTAGGCCTCCTTAGAGGCTGTTGTGAGGTGCCAGTGAAACAATCAGAGCTGGCCTTTTATTGAGCATCTGCTGCGCCCCAAGCTCCTTACACCATCCCAATGACACCTGCAGGTCAGTGCTATTCCTGGCCTCATTTACAGAGGAGGAAACTGAGGCTGGGAGAGGCACAGTGATTTTCCTGGGATAGTAAATGGCAGAGCTGGGACAGGAACCTCCACTGCCACCAGGTGCTGCAGATACACCAGCTCTGTAGCTTAGCTTTCCAATAACCACAGGAGGGTGACCAGACACCACAAGCCATGGCTGTGGGGAACATCAACGAGCTGCCTGAAAACATCCTGCTGGAGCTGTTCACGCACGTGCCCGCACGCCAGCTGCTGCTGCGCTGCCGCCTGGTCTGCAGCCTCTGGCGAGACCTCATTGACCTGGTGACCCTCTGGAAGCGCAAGTGCCTGCGTGAGGGCTTCATCACCGAGGACTGGGACCAGCCTGTGGCCGACTGGAAGATTTTCTACTTCCTACGTAGCCTCCACAGGAACCTGCTGCACAACCCGTGCGCTGAAGGTGGGGTAGACAGGGTCTGGCATACCCGCAACACATGTACTGTCATGGTACTAACTAACGTTTATTGAGCACTTACTATGAGCTCGTCTTTGTGTGGTTTAACTCCTTAGTCCTCTCACAATAACCCTGAGAAGTAGGTACTGTTAATGCACCTATTTTTCAGATGGGCAAACTGAAGCCAAGAGTGGTGTTTCTTATTCCACTCTTAAGATTACTTCCTCAGTGACCTCTCCTAAGAAAGGGAATGTTGGCCATGTAGGACTAATTACACCCAAGATACAAGACCAGAAAGTCAAAGCCACATTTTACTGGCCTACTTCCCAGACTCCAAGGCTAGGCCTACTGGGACTGTCCCAGAGGGCAAAGGGGGTTTCGATTGTGGAAGAAGGGGAGATCCAGCCTTCTTTCCAGCATTTTACAACAGGTGAAACAAGGCTTCTATACCCCTTTTCCCTTGCTGTGTTATAACGTGTCAGGTGGACACTGGGGTGGGATGGGAACCTTGTTCTCCATGACATGGCTAATTTCTGAAGCAAAATGATGACAAAGCAACTTCTCCAAGCTGTCCAGAGCTTTTAATGCCTGCCTCAGTTGACTCCCCAACAGCCATGTTCTTGAACAGCATTTGGCAAACTTGTCCGTGAGCCACATCTGGCCAAGGAGTTAAGAATAATTTTTACATTTTTAAAGGGTTATAAAAAAAGAAACAAGAAAAAAAAAAAAACTATGCAATAGAGACAGTATGTGGCCCACAAAATTTTAAATATTTTTGCACTTTGCAGAAAAAGCTTCCCAGCCCCTGTTCTTGGCCCAAATTTACAGAGGGAATAAACAGAGAGGGAAAGCAACTTGCCTAAGGTCACAGAGACCAGAACTGGTAGAGCTGGGGCTAGACCCAGGTCTATCTGGCCCATGTCAGAGCATTCCACATCACAAAGAGAGTCTGGACATTCACCTCTTCACGTGTCTCAAGGTTCCCAGTGGAAATCATTTACCTGTGCCTGGGACTCAGGAAGCACCTCATACAAGGTGGACACTGTTGATCTACAGTGTCCCACAGCAGGGGGCTTGAGGGCAACTGCTGAGACCCAGGGAGGAGAGTGGGGAGGAAGGGGTGCTTGGGAGACGGTGACCACTGAGGGGCTTCCCTTCAGTGTGAGCTCTGCTTTCCCACCAGAGGGGTTTGAGTTCTGGAGCCTGGACGTGAATGGAGGTGATGAGTGGAAGGTGGAAGATCTTTCTAGAGACCAGAGGAACGAATTCCCCAATGACCAGGTCAAGAAATACTTCGTGACTTCTTATTAGTAAGATCCAGGGGTCTCAGGGCGGGGGAAAGCCCAAGTCATTTCACCCTGGGGTCTCTCCCACCCCAGGGAGGGGCAGTCCTAGCCCCCCAGTGTGCTGGTGGTGAGCCGCAGCCCCTCCCACCCCCTCCACCCATCCCCAGCACCTGCCTCAAGTCCCAGGTGGTGGACCTCAAGGCCGAAGGGTATTGGGAGGAGCTGATGGACACCACACGGCCGGACATCGAGGTCAAGGACTGGTGAGTGCCTGGGGCGAGGGTCTGGGGTGGGGGGCCTGCTGCTCAGGTGCCCCACCCCCACCCTGCCTCCCCATCTCTGAGGCCCTCATGGGCCCTCCCTCTGCCTGCAGGTTCGCAGCCAGGCCGGATTGCGGGTCCAAGTACCAGCTGTGCGTTCAGCTCCTGTCATCCGCGCATGCACCTCTGGGGACCTTCCAGCCAGATCCAGTGATGATCCAGCAGAAGAGCGACGCCAAGTGGAGAGAGGTGTGTGGGCCCAGGAGGGGCAGGGCAGACCACGCAAGCTGAGACCGCGGTCAGCCAGGCCTAGGCTCAGGTGCGAGGTCTGCTACTTCTCACCTGCGTCTCCGCTGCTCTGAGCTTCATTTGCTGCATCTGTAAAATGGGAATAATAGCGCTTCCCTCACAGAGTTCTAAGTCGGTGAAATGATGCGGCTAAAGCCAGGTACCAAAAATGTTCATAAAGACTGACCGTCACTAATTACTATTATTAATTATTACTGTTATCCAGACCAGGGTCAGCAAATATTTTTTAAAGGCCAGATACATTGGGCTGGTCATTTAGCTCAGTTAGAGTGCGGTGTTATAACACCAAGGTCAGGGGTTCAGATCCCCATTCTGGCCTGCTGCCAAAAAATAAAAAATAGTAATAATAAGAGACCTGATACAAATATGATTTTAGGGTTTGCAGGCCATACCGTGTCTGTCACAACTACTCAACTCTTCAGCACTGCTGCTGTTGTGTGAAAGCAGCTTTAGACAGCAAGTGGACATGGCTGTGTTCCACTAAAAGTTTATTTACAAAAACAGTCAGTGGGCCCGCAGGCCACAGCTTGCCCACTCCTGTTCTAGACCAGCACCGTCCAATAGAACGTTCTGCAGTGCTAGAAGTGGCCTGCATCTGTACCGCCTAGTACGGTAGCCAGTAGCTCCGGATGACTGTGCAACACTTAGTAAGAGTTCCTAGGGCAACTAACTGAATTGTTTGTTTTACCTAATTTTAATTAATTCGAACTTAAATAGCCACACCTGCCCAGTGATGACCATACTGGGCCTTCTTTGGCAGTTTGCAGTTTCTTTCAGTTCCTTTGAGCCACGTGATAATCCTGTGGAGTGGACCGGGCAGGATTTTGCTCCATTTTACAGATGAGGAAAGCGAGGCACAGAGAGGGGAGGTGGTCTGCCCAAAATCACAGAGCTAGGACTAGAACTCCATTCTGCTCACTCCTGGTCCAGCTCTAAGAATTCAGCCCCTTCCTTTCTCCCCTGCCACTCAGGCAGTGCTGCCCTCGGGGTCAGCTCCCTTGACCTCTCTCCCCCTCTGCCTCCCCGCCACCCCCCAGGTCTCCCACACGTTCTCCAACTACCCACCCGGCGTCCGCTACATCTGGTTTCAGCACGGCGGCGTGGACACTCACTACTGGGCCGGCTGGTACGGCCCGAGGGTCACCAACAGCAGCATCACCATCGGGCCCCCACTGCCCTGACACCCCCTGAGCCCCCATCCACAGAACCCTAACTGGTAAATTGCTGTCAGAGAAGGGCTGGGCTTTGGGAAGGGGAGGTGGAGGCCAGGCACCCCCAGACCTCTTAGTTCACTTTTGGCCCCAGTTGCGTCTTCTTTGTGGAGCCCCTGAGCTTGAGCAGCCATCACATTCTGTGGAAGGCCAGCTCTCCACCTGAGATCTCAACCTCAAACATGGCAGGGGAGGCTTGCGTGGGCCCTTTTAAGAGATGAAGCACTTGAGGTCAAGGAGGTGTGGAGTGTTCCCCCAGGCTCCTTCTAGAGTGGGTCGCCAAGCTCAGATACCAGCCTAGATCTGTGTCTTTACCTTCCCTACCTGGGACCTTTCTCCCTGTGTTTTTTGGGGGCTCTCAGGGCAGGTACAGGCAAGACATCTGGCAAGCCTGTGGCTGCCTGGGATAGTGAAGGTGCTGGGAGGTGACCCTGTAACTCTGGGAAGATCTGGGAAGTAGGAGGGACCTGCTGGTCCATCCTCTAGCCCCATTCTGTGGCTCCTAATCTTTCTCTCTGCCTGCCTGCTCAGAAGAGTTGACCCAGGCCTGGTATCAGATGGGCAGGCCCAGGGTAGGGTGGGGTTGGGTCCAGGCCAAGTGGGGACTGTCTTTATTGTAAATGAAGGCCCCACCCAGATGTGTACTAAGTGGGGACAAGTTCTCCCCAGAGGACCCAGCGAATCCTGTGCAGGGTGACCCAGGGTAGAGGGGCTGGGATTGGGGCCTGATTCTAAGAGCTGGGACATGTGAGCCCTGGATGAGTGCAGTAGGGGGGTCCCAGAGGACCCAGCGAATCCTGTGCAGGGTGACCCAGGGTAGAGGTGCCGGGATTGGGGCCTGATTCTAAGAGCTGGGACATGTGAGCCCTGGATGAGTGCAGTAGGGGGGTTTTGAGAACCACCTGTCCACCTCCAAGCCCAGGCCAGGGTCCCTGTGGTTTGGAGAGCACTCCAACCCCACCCCACCCCACCTTTGGAACTACCATTCCCAGGACCTCCCCAACCAGGGTCCCTGTGGTGTGGAGAGCACTCCAACCCCACCCCACCCCACCTTTGGAACTACCATTCCCAGGACCTCCCCACCCACTTGACCACGCTTACACTCCTGCCTCTCCCTCCTACTGGAAGGACAGTGGTGCTCTCCTAACCTTGTCCTGCTGCATGTGGCCAAATAAAAGGTGTTCCCAGCCCAACCTGTGCCCTACGGTTTCTGGCAGGAAAGACAAACTTCATGGGCAGTACTGCCTGGAACTGCAGAAGGTGCAATGGTGTGGTTTCTGTTCATGGTACAGAGAGGGGTTGGCATTTCAGGAGTCAGACCATCGCAGAACCATGCGATGCAGACATCTCCCCTGACAGTCCTCCTGACCTGCTAGCTTCCTCTGGAGGCCGGTCCCCAGGCGGGGGGCGGGGTGCGTGGACACCTCTGGGTAGCCTGTAGTACACCTCATGCTGGGTTGCAGTGACACCCAACCACTGCTTCCTGGTGCTAGTCTTTGCCCAGAGCTTTACTGACTTTGGATGAAGCCAAAGCATTTAGGATGGTACTAGGCACACAGTAGGTGCTACATAAGTACTTGTTAAGTTTAACTATCTCAGTCAGCAGTGGACTAGATTAGGGCCTCACCAGGGTGGAACAACCACCCACCCGCTGAATAGCAAACTGGAGAAAGACACCCACCCTTCTGTGGAGAAGATGTGGCCCTGACTGGGATCAACACTGCGGCCTGGGCCAGCCGCCTTGAGCAGTGCACAGCCTGAGCGACCCGTGGTGGTGGCCTGAAGGAGCGGCTTGATGAATAGTCGATGAACGAAGGAAGGAATTAACAAGCTTAATCACGACCAAAACCCCTAAGAGCTTTTTGCGTCTGAGTCACTTATGTGGCCAAATAAAAGGTGTTCCCAGCCCAACCTGTGCCCTACGGTTTCTGGCAGGAAAGACAAACTTCATGGGCAGTACTGCCTGGAACTGCAGAAGGTGCAATGGTGTGGTTTCTGTTCATGGTACAGAGAGGGGTTGGCATTTCAGGAGTCAGACCATCGCAGAACCATGCGATGCAGACATCTCCCCTGACAGTCCTCCTGACCTGCTAGCTTCCTCTGGAGGCCGGTCCCCAGGCGGGGGGCGGGGTGCGTGGACACCTCTGGGTAGCCTGTAGTACACCTCATGCTGGGTTGCAGTGACACCCAACCACTGCTTCCTGGTGCTAGTCTTTGCCCAGAGCTTTACTGACTTTGGATGAAGCCAAAGCATTTAGGATGGTACTAGGCACACAGTAGGTGCTACATAAGTACTTGTTAAGTTTAACTATCTCAGTCAGCAGTGGACTAGATTAGGGCCTCACCAGGGTGGAACAACCACCCACCCGCTGAATAGCAAACTGGAGAAAGACACCCTTCTGTGGAGAAGATGCGGCCCTGACTGGGATCAACACTGCGGCCTGGGCCAGCCGCCTTGAGCAGTGCACAGCCTGAGCGACCCGTGGTGGTGGCCTGAAGGAGCGGCTTGATGAATAGTCGATGAACGAAGGAAGGAATTAACGAGCTTAATCCCGACCAAAACCCCTAAGAGCTTTTTGCGTCTGAGTCACTTGGGGCCCGCCCGAGGCCACGCCCCAGACCCCGCCCGGAGTCCGCCTCCCTCGCGCTCCCCCCGGGTGGGAGGGCCCCGCGGGNCACCGGCCGAGGCTGCAGGCTCCAGGCCGACGCGGAGCAGTCACAACCCAGTCACCTCTCCAAGCCCCCACCTTTCAACTACCACCGTAGGATTTCCCACCCTCTTAACACTGTCACAGTGAGGACCAAGCCTCCAACACGTTAAACTTTTGGGAGGACACAGTTCAATCCATAATAGGTGGGAACAGGGAGACAGGACAATAAAGAAAATAATTATCATGCCTATCGAACACTGAAACTGGCCTGTATGGGAAATAGGCTGTTTTGTCTCTCTCCTGATCACTCAGATTAGATCACAGCTTACTTTAGGTTTGGTGACCTGGAACTTAGCACAGGTGAATCCATTTTTGTTTTTAGTCTGGTCTTTTGGAGCCTAGTGCAGGAACTGAGTCCTTAACAATGGCCCCCTATAATTTTTATTTAACAATATTTTTATTGGGCTTTTCCAAATGTGTGAAATGTGACCACTCTGCATGTCGAGGGCCTCCTATGTACTGGAAGGACTCTCAGAAATACTCGTCTAACCCCTGTTGTTTTCACAAAAGAGGAAACAGGATTCCAGTGAAGTCCTTAGGGATCTGCGGGGTGCACCTCTTTGGTCAGGGCTCATAAGCACTGTCTTCCCTGCAGGCCTGTGCTCTCCCCACCCCGCCATGGCCCTGGTCAGCATCAACGAGCTGCCTGAGAACATCCTGCTGGAGCTGTTCACACACGTGCCCGCCCGGGAGCTGCTGCTGCGCTGCCGCCCCGTCTGCAGCCTGTGGCGTGACCTCATTGACGTTGCAACCCTGTGGAAGCGCAAGAGCCTGCACGAGGGCTTCATCACCAAGGACTGGGACCAGCCTGTGGCCGACTGGAAGATCTTCTACTTTCTGAACAGCCTCCGCAGGAACCTGCTGCGCAATCCATGTGCTGAAGGTGGGCTGGGGCTGCCATTAGGGTGGTTCCTTCTCTTTCCTGAACCTCAGGGTCTTTGCCCTTGCTATTCCCATACTACCTGGAATGTTCTCTCATACCCCTACCACACCCCCCTAGTTCCTCCTCATTGTTCAGGTCTTGGTTTGGAGACACGCCCTGACCTCCCATCTAAAAACAGTGCTCCCCACCTCTATCATATTACCCCCATTTAGTGCCTTCTAGCACTTTTCATAACCTATAATTACCCTATCTCTTTTTTTTCCCTCTGCCACAAACTTCAAGTTCCAAAAGCCTAAATGGATCTTGGCTGCTACTCTGTACAGTGTCCACAACGCTGCCTTTACATAGCAGATGCTCAAGAAACGCTGGCTGGGCGAATAAACACTCCACAGCTCCACTCGCCCCATAGTTTGGTCTAAGCTGCCTGATGTTTATCAAGGGCCTCTTCTGGGCCAGGCACTTGTCTGAGGTCTCCTTAAGCATAGTTATTCATCCTCCCAAGATGAAGAACATGAGGCTTTAGAGGTGCCTGCAATCACATAGTTTGAGGCCCCTTTGTAGCCTGTAATGTTCTCTTGTGTTTGCCAGGGTTTCTCTCCTTCATTTACCTAGCACTGTGTTCCGGGCACTACACTTCCTGTTGGGACTACAACAGTGATTGATTAAGAGGCATAGTTTGTGCACTTAGAATCCCTTGCATATCTGTTTTCTCTCTTTATCCTCCCAAGGATCCTGGGAATTGGTGCACCAATTAGGATGGACTCCATTTTACAGATGGGGAGCTTTGGGCCCCAAGGTGACTGACTTGCCCAAAGATCCAGAGCTGCCCAACTTCTGGGGTCTGGTCCTAACTGATGAAGGCCTTAGGCCCCTCTCTGAGGCCCCACAGACAACACCCCAGACAATCTCTCTGCCTGCCCCGGATTCCGTTCAGAAGCTGCCCTGCCAGGCTGCCAGCTTGATTCGCACTGCCGTGGAGGCAGCCTGCAGCCTCTCGCTGGGCCCTGGGGTCGGCAGCGGTCAGCCCGACCTTGCGCAGGTCTCCCCCTGGGCCTACACTCAGTGCCAGCCCAGCTCCTGGATTTCTGTATTCCTCCTCTGGTGCTCTCCTGGGGGGCATGTGGGGAATAGGTGGGCTCCCAGTGGAGGTCACAAGCAATTTGGAAAAGCTCCCCTGGTGATTGTTCTGGACAGCCTGGCTAAAGCAACACTATTGTTTTCTAAGGGCCTCTCAACTTGGCCTGAAGCCTAAACTTGAACCTGCCAAGCCAGCCTGATGGAGGGCCTCCCTCCAATACAAGGTTTCTACAGCCACCAGCCCAGAGGATGCCTGTCTCTCCTTATACTAGCCCTGGACAGAGGGCTTTGGAGTCATATCAGAATATATGCACCCACTGATAAACCCACAAATCAGTTCTCTCAGATCCCTTCAAGTCCTGGTTATGCAGTTAACCAAGGCCTCTCCCTCAGCGTCAGGTGATGTCAGTCAGGGAAGCACCCATGCTGGAGTGAACTTGCATTAGCCATTAAGAACACACGCACCATTGCAGGCCCTTCGTAATTTTAATTTTTTGAGAACTGAAACGTGGGTACTTCCCAGAGTCCCATGGCAACACGGAAGTGAGGAAAGGTCTGGTTTAGAATTTCTGGTACGGGCCGGCCCGTGGCTCACTCGGTAGAGTGCGGTGCTGATAACACCAAGGCCACGGGT